GAAAAATACCTAATTCGTGTTTGTGGTGTAAAATATTCCGATTGAAATATATTGTTCTGCATGATAATGCTTAGAGAAACCGAAACATTTTGTAGGGACGAAGAGATTTCAGTTATATTAGTATTTTAATTTGTGGTAAGTTGGAATTGATAGACTGTACACGAATAGACGATAGACATACTTTAAGTTTTCGCCACTGACGTAGATGAAGGCTCGAACGTTTTTCTGCGTATTTCTCGCGATGTTCTCGATGATGAGACGCTCGAAGATCATATGCATCACGGTCTTCTTTAACTTTGTCCTGTACCTTTAAACACCGTCGATATCGTTGAACTTCATTTGCTCGCTTCTAAAGTGATTCGTGAAAACGAAAAAGACAACAAAACTGACAGTCTAATTATTCAACAAAAAATTTCAGATAATGTATACGAAATGTATTACAAGTTATTCATATGAAAACATGAAAAGTATCTTATAGGGATTTGTATAGACTAGTGTTAAATCATTGAAATACACATACTGGACAAAAAGTCGATACGTCCGATAATTGTGAGGAATTACTAAATTCCAAATAAAGAATCGCATTAAAATGAAATGTATTCAAAAAACCAATAATTTATGGGCGCATTATCATAATAATTACTACATTTCGCATGTTCTAATCGTCGGAAATTGGGAAATACAGATGTTTATAGTAAATACATTAAATTCAAATGGATTATATGCTATGTACTTTTTATGGTACTAAATAATGGCATTACATGAATATTATTTCAAGACATTTTACACTGAACGACATGTAAAGTTCTAATTTTCATGCATATTCAATAATCTGCGGATGTTATATTGTAAATTATGTATTATGTTGATAGGTCAGGCAATTTGCATATAGCAGAAAAATAAGTAAGATGAAGATATATCCATGTAATCAACCGTTTAGCTTTTTCTTTAGCGAGGGGAATGTCAGTGATCCCAACAAGTCGGTATCTTGAGCAAACATCAGTCATGAATATGGCATCAATTAATTAGTTTCCGTTCAGCTATTTAACAATCAAGATAACTGATCGAAACCGTGATTAGTATTCAGAAGTCGATTGGAAACATGTTTGCGATGAACAGTTCTGATAATGATATCAGTTTGCAACAAAAATCATCTTCAACTTGAATGAATCTCCATAATCCCATTCAATGGAAATATGTAATGACCTACAAGTCATATAAAAAAACAAGAAGTACAAGACTTACCGTAGATTCTACCTCTAGGATAAGATCTCCCGCAGAGGGGAGATCTTTCCAACCCGCTACCCGCGCTACAAATCCGGGTTTAACTGAATCCACGAGTTTTCCTGCATCGTTTAACAAGATTCGTGGGGTACAGATTGCTTCACCAGCTATAAGTGGACCACTATTGGGTGATTTACGCAAAACACCTCGAGTAATAAGACAGGTAGCCGTTTTGCTATAAGAGAAGAGTATTAAGTATCTGTTGTTTAGAAAGAACCCAATAATAGTTAAGCAAAAATCAAATAAATCAAAAAACTTTAGATTGTGAGTGAAATCAAAAGAAAAAAACGACAAGTCACGTTACAGGAAGGAGGAAATTGGAAAAATGTTAGTCTATGATTGAAAACACCTATGCATCTAACAAAGGTACATAAGTTAAAATGGTTTTGTGTTAATTTTTCACATAGTTTGAAGATGATTTTCACCTAGAACTGATATAATTTAAAGTATCAATGAAAATCAGGGAGCCTTAGACAGCTGTTTCCTTTCAGTTTGAGATAATTCAACAGTGGACAGGCACAAGTCTACACAAAATCGATCCCATAAACGTCAAGATTCATGACAGTTCATAAAGTACAAACTAATATCTACACTAATCATATATATCACTTGTCTTCAGCACAATTCCAAATACAAGTATGTAATACGTATTACAATCCCTGTAATAGATAAGGCTATGACATTTGCTTTTGAACTCAATTAAGTGACACGTTTATAAGTGTTGAATATGGACAAGCATCATATTGGGGAAATGATTTTAAGAGAAAATAGCATGTTTTGAATATTTTTTAAAAAAAATTGCAATACATTAGACAACAATCGATCTTAAACACATAAACACGTGTACAAATACGAAAATTAATTTACTACTAATTACCCAATCCCATGAAGTGTTTCTGATTCTAAAACAATACCTTCAGTCAATCCGGTATGATCTGCTTTCAACTGCATTATTTCAGCTTGCAGAATAATAGCATCTAATAATTCCGAAAGATTTATTCGTTTTAATGCTGATATTGGAACTGCTTGTATATCTCCACCTAACTGTTCAGTTAAAACTTCATAAGTAGCTAGACCTTGGACTACTTTATCCTAATATATAAAAAAAATTGAAATTAGTATCTTTTGGCTGGCATATCATTCGATGATTATGTAAATATTAGCATAAAGTCTAATTATACATTTTACAGTTTAACTTTTATTTATCAACAATATATAAAGCACATACAAACTAAAGAAACTCTAGTTAGAGGTCAATCAAACAAGACATTCGACTTAAATACACAAATATATGAAGACAACGAAATCTGTAAATATCACCAACTACATCATTGGTTTCGTAATAACAAGAAGCTTACTTCTACACGAAGATGTTGATGATGTCCAAAACAACAATAAAAGTTCGATAATAAATTATCTAGCTCAGAGAAGTGAACAACATTAAGCATCCATGAGAACTACAAATTGAATCTATCACAAGTTACGTTAGGTTTGATTTAAAACTAGATGATATCAAGTTTAACACCAGTGACGTTTATATATATCGCTTGATCTTGCAGATTGTCATTTACATATAATTGTACTCTTATTTACAGCAAAAAACAATACTTGCATAACACAGTATCTAATCTAATGTCTAAATCCAAACGCCAAAAGAATTACTTAATACACATTTAGGTCCTAGCATAACACAGGTAAAACATACAAATAAATATATTCTTCTGATCCAGACATGGTTAAATCTATTATACTAAAAGAAACGACTTGGATCCTGGGAACACTTTTGAGTGTAGTCTTATCACATTTGTTAAACAAGGACGTTGTTCCTGATAGTTGGAAACCAAGATGCATAGCATTGATTTTAAGAGGTGACCGTGAGTTTGACCACAAACGAAGTATGTTACGTAAGGAAATTTGGCAAAGCTTGCGTAAGGACCGAGAAGCCTAGTGGTCGAAGCGTGCTAATGAGCTTGAAGCAGCAGCTGCATCTGGTAATTACCGGAAGCTTTTCCAACTCATCCGAGCCACTGGCAGCAAGAAGTCTGGTGTGATCGAAACAATCTGCGAGGATGATGGGATGCCAATCACCAACATCCATCGACATCTTGGACGATGGGCAGAATTTTTCGAAGGGCAGTTCAACTGGCCTGCTGCTACGGCAACATCGGTTAGACTGTCCTGCCCTCCATGGCCGGTGATGACTGACCCACCAAATGAGGCGGAAGTCCGCAAGGAACTCCAACTCTTGAAGCATTACAAATCAACTGGCCCAGATGACTTACCTCCGGCTCTTTTTACATATGGTGGTGACTTTCTGGCTAAGGAACTGACAAGGTTGTTTACAAAGTTCTGGGAGCTCGAGAGTGTACCAACGTCATGGAGTGAGTCGATAGTTGTCCCTATCTTTAAAAAGGGTTCACGTCGTTCCTGTAACAACTATCGGGGGATAAGTCTACTTCCGATTGCTTCCAAGCTATTGGCTTCCGTCATACTTCGTAGGTTGTTCAAAACCCGAGAAAGATTGAATCGCGAGGAGCAGGCTGGGTTTCGTTCTGGTAGAGGATGTATTGATCATATCTTCACCCTCTGTCAAATGTTAGAACACCGTCATACTTGTCAAAGGCCAACAATCGTAGTGTTTCTTGACATCAGGGCTGCCTTCGATTCGTTGGACAGGACTCTTCTCTGGGATTGTCTATTGAAGAAGGGTGTGCCTGAGAAGTTTATTAACATCCTAAAAGCCCTATATACAAACACCTTAGGCAGAGTGAGGGCATACAACCACCTCTGTCCATTGTTCTATTCGAGCAGTGGGGTTAGGCAGGGTTGCCCAATCTCACCGTTCGTCTTCAACTTTGCCATCGATGACATTCTGGAAACAGCTCTGATGAATGTAAGTAATGGCGATGTGGATCTGTTGCCTGGAGAAAGACTTCTCGACCTTGAGTATGCGGATGATATTGTCTTACTGTGCGATAATGCCCAAGCCATGCAATCCGCACTTAATCAGTTGGCAATCAGTGTCCGTAGGTATGGTATGTGCTTTGCACCTTCGAAGTGTAAAGTACTTCTACAAGACTGGCAGGATTCTAATCCTGTACTCACCCTGGGTGCTGAGCAGATAGAAGTAGTCGAGAAGTTTGTGTATCTGGGTAGCTGCATAAGTGCTGGTGGGGGTGTGAGTGGTGAGATCAACGCACGTATAGTGAAAGCCAGAGCGGCTTATGCCAATCTGGGCCACCTTTGGCGCCTTCCTGATGTCGATGAGAGCAGTTCTGCTCTATGCTTGTGAAACCTGGCCTCTCCAAGTTGAGGATGTTAGACGACCCTCTGGGTTTGATCATTGTTGTCCCCGAAAGATTGCTGACATCCAGCGGTAACACCATTAGATGGTGGTTGGAGGTAGTCAACAGGAAACCCTGGACCCGGGTTTCGTGCTACTTCGCACTCGTCAGCAATGTGTACCTGTAATCTTGAGGAAACTGGTGCCCCCTGGCGGATTCGATCTCGTGTCACCCAGCTTCAGAGTCAGATACGTTACCATTGAGCTATCTGAGCCGCGACTGACCTTCTGTAGGACTGAGATGTAATCTAATCTCAATACATAGCGCCCGCAGTGTCGAGTCACATAGACTGGTGGCCACATTGCAACATGACCGATAGCATTCGATCTGCACTAATAAAGACTAGACAAGCATGACATTGATCACCACCCAGTGATCAATCAATTGTGATTACATGTGTCAGGTTCTGAGTCGTGTTTGAATAGACTGACCAGCGTTCGATCGCAAAACAAACTAAAAAGACGAATAATCAAAAACATGAAAACTTAAGCAATGATTTTACAATATTTACACAGTCGAAGAGTCGGAGTTTTAGCTTGATAAATGAATCACATCTGAGTAGAAGAAAGATGTGCAACAAAAATTGAAAGTGCAGTCTACCCTTTTGAAGAAGCTTTCTTGAAATAAAAACCTAAAGCAGAACAGAAAGTCTAAGTGTCCATAGGTTTTCCGGTCAGCGTTTTTTTGCAAGGTTCTTTTGTTGGGATGGATTTGAAACGCAAGACAAAGCGTCCGGAGGCTCTAAAGGATTCGAAGAGATTTCGTACAATTGGAACTTGTAGAGTATTCTACATTACTAACGTGACATGTGACGATTAGACAGTCGCATAAATTGCCTCCTTGGAGATTGGCAGAATTATGATGGTGTCTATAGCCAATATCAATAAGTATAAACATTCATGTTTTTTATACATTTGTGATTTTTACGCAATACCCATTTTTGCTGCTTTACTTCGATCTTTTGATTTACGACTATAAGGGTTTTACACGTTCTACTTACGATAGTTGTATACTGTATTCTGTCGTAATCAAGTAGCAAACTGGCGACGAGGTATACCAATTGCAGTGCCAGTAACTCTTGAACAAGTAGAATCTTTGCCTGAACGTCGGGAAAAACGGCATGAACAGTCCCAAGTTTGTATCCCGGGAATCCTAACGCAATAAATGAACCTTAATCACAGAGGACTTACTGAATACCCATGTAACCCGCATACCGATTTCATCAACAATTCTATTCATGAAACCTGATTCAAGAAATATGAAGATTTTTCAAGATCCACCCCAATAAACTTGAACACGAAGGTCACAGTAATTTCATTCTTTCAAAGTACCCAGAAGACTTTTCTTTTGATGCAACAATTGATATCCTGTCACAAATCTTTGATGAACAATAATCTTTATTTAATTATCTATTATGAGTGCCTCAAGATAACAGAGGCTGGTGATGATGACTGGGTGAAACATTCAGGTTTAGTAAATCGCGATTGCAAGCGGCTTAAACAATCGGCAATGATAGAAGGTCAGTTTGACAGTCTTATATCTGTGTGCAGTCTCCAATCTCCTGAAGATGCTGATATCAGAACCAGAATTTTAAGTAAAATTGAACGATATCCAAACATAACGCTACAAAAAGTAACCACAGAATAGCGGAGACTGGTAAACTTGAAACATAATACCTCCATGGTTGAAAACAATAGCTGGTCGCGATACGTTCACGCTATATGCGAAAAGATTCGAGCTCACAAAAACCATCCCACATAGACAACCAGCCTTCATCTCCATGTTGGCCATGTGGAAGTTGGCATTACAAGAAGTTCCGTCCATATAAATGTCACAGTAAATGCCATAAAGAGACCAGCTGCAGAAAAAGAACCTATCGAGATCATCCATGGAAACCCTATTCCAAGAAATACAGACCTCGTGTGATAACTAAATATTGATAGTTCATAACCGAGCAGGTATTTACCGCCAAAGAAAATATATAACTGTGGACGTTAATAAACACTGTATCTTTCTTCAACTTGATACAGCATCTGACATTACTCATACCACCCCAGAAACTTGGAAGACTCTCAGTTCGTCCAACGACGATACTAGCACACAGTGCTTCCGGTGGAAAGTTAAATATTGTTGAAGTATCCTGGACTGTTTCTAAAGGTAATGCAACTACGAATGCAACAATATACACTACAAAGAATCCATCCCTCAGTTTACTGGGGTTAGATCCGATAGAGACACTAAAATTAGCAGACCATTCATCTAATAACATTTGCATCCGAGTCAGAACTAATAACCACCAGAGGGTAACGAAAAAACTGTGTTACAAAGACATCACCACGTGGTCACAGAAGGATTAAGAGAATACACGAAGGCTAAAGCATTAATAACCCACAAATCTGGAGCTACTCCTGTTTATCAAGTAATTATCAGTGTTTCCCGTGAGATACATGTGCAAAGGTACTAGACGTCTGTCAATAACATTGGAACCGGTCTCAAACGCCAATACATGTCAACGAGCAACACATCCACCCAAGGATGTTTCCACGATCATAAGATAGAGGAGGTAAACAGCTTATCCCCTGGTGAGTTTTTTTTATGTGATAACCTCATGTAAGTCAGGTAGGTAGTATAAATCATATATGAAATGAATTCCCTAGTGTTAGTGTAACCATAATGTTAAGGATCACAATTGATTTGGCATACAATGGGATGGGTTTCATTCTCTTCTCGAGTCGCGTCGACACATTATACCAGGGCTAGTGTTGTTATGTAAACGGTAGGAGTAGTGGAAGTTTTATGAGATGGAAAGATGGATTGTTTGAGTCATACACAGTAAGTAGCTAATATTTAGTGACATAAACAAATTCCCTTCAGTGTAGTATTAGACAACAAATGCATTTCTCACAAGTCGATATTGATCTCATGGAAAACTGCAAATAGTTGAAAATTAACTGAATTAACGAATGTTTCTAATCTTCTTTCTCAGATTCTATGTTTTTAATTAAACCAATTATCAGATTCATTAACTATTTCAGAGTAAATGAACTTTATTCTCTCATCAACAATCTGATTCATAAAATTTATTCATGTTTGCCCTTGCTCAGTAAATTCTCTACATAAATTTTCGCATTATGTGCTTCATCTTCTTCGGAATAAAGTATACATGTGTCAGGTTCCATGCCATCTACAACCGATTGGTCGAAAAATTTGGTCATCAAAACAAGCGAACCTACCATAGTTTTGTGAGACGTAAATAAAAGAAAATTATTATTATTATTATTATTATTATTCAGTTGCTTTTTTATATATATTATTCATTGCTCAAAACAATAAATTTTTGCTTACCATACTGATATCGTGTTTATCAATTTTATTGATTGCGACAACTATAGGAGCTAAAACGTTAATATACATAATATCCATTTAGATCGTTTCATAAAGAATTTCATCATATCTAAAATAATAGGTAATTTACAAATTCAATTGATAATCTATTTGATAGTATTTGAAAGCGGAAGTGGGCTTACAATCTTTCATTAACATCGGTTAGGATAAAATGACAGTACCATTATCTCTTACATCGCTGAAGCATGACTCAAAATTACATTGATTAATATTGAATAAATAATTTTAAAGTCCACCTGGTGTGTTTGTGAGGTTACTGTCGGTCCCAAACCTAGGTAGACAAAGAGGGTTGGACATGGGATTATAAATACAATTCCTTGGAAAACAACATTGCCAAAAACGCTAACTGGAGAAATCACTCTAAACAGTTAGACTCTATCCTGGGAGTCGAAGAGTCTTCATAGAAAACGGCTTTAACGCCTCGGGCGGTGTGATATCCGTCTATCAATTAAAAGACGGGTATACTGTGCAGCAGTTTGTTCTGTTCGACTTTACGGCTGCGAAACAAGGTCATTAAGAGTAGAAGATACTAGTAATCTACTAGTATTTGGCTACAGATGCCTGACTAGTGTTGGGGATGCCTGCAAGAAAGTAAGAGGCGACCAAACTAAAACATCGGTGCTTTAAGGCACTAACTTCTCGTCTGAGCCTTGTTGGTAGATGCAAACTACTTGGTTGGGGTCCGCGTGACTAACGTAACTAATGGTTGGAGACTGTGACATAGCTCAGAATCGATGACAATGGCGTAGGTGTATACACTCTTTGTCTTGCCTTAAAACGCGAGATTAAAATCACTCCATACTTTTCTTTCTACAAATTAATTCTTTCTCCCTGTATCATATCCTTAGATGAAATGTATTTCTTATCTACCACTGAAGTGACTACTTCTATGAATTTGGTGTCCATCTTGTTGTGCTAATGAGGTGTGGCAAATTGGACCGATGCACATAAGTGCCTGGTCCTACGTTGTAGCTGACTGACTGTGACGCGTCATGATGAAAACCGATATTTTTGGGAAATCTCGAGGCCGATTCCTCTTCTGACAACCAGAACAACCGGGAGGACCATTAAAATATCTGCAGAAATGAGAGGATACAAATTGGCTCTGGTCGGAGTAAGTGAAACTCATTGGACAAAAGCTAGCTTCAGGAGAGCTTATGTCCTATTCTAGCTACGATGAGTAAAATGCCCTACAAGCACACAAGGAGTTGCACTAATGCTGTCCAAAGAAGCATGGAAAGTGCCCACAGGATGTGGATCACGTGGCTCCAGAACGACCAAAGCACCCTTCAAAACAAAGAAGGAAGGGATTACGATATGTGTCATTCAGTGATACGGGCTCATCGATGACAGCGGCAGATATGGTAAACATCAGTTTTACGAGGACACAGTCCATTGTAGATAACTCCCCTGGAAAGACCTAATGACCTTGATGAAGAACCTGAACACCAAAGTCGGGGTGGACACCAACAGATACGAAGGCACCACAAGGCGACATGGACCAGTAGTTAGGAACGAGAAAAATGAGAGGCTAGTAGATCTCCGTGTTTTTAACATGATAATAGGTGGCAACACTTTACCCACAAACGCATAAACAAATCTACATGAGCTTCAATAAATCACCACAGAAAACCAGATCGGCCACAGATGCATAAATAACAAAATTCAGAAGGCACATGAAAGACGTAAAAATAAAGAAACGAGCTGATAACGCTTGATATCATCATCTGGTGGTGGCCGAGCTAAAACTGAAGCTAAAGTAACACTGGACAATTGGACAAAGAGCGCAACAAGAGTATAGCACACGCCACCTTCGAGATGCTAACCAGCTCAAGAAGCACAATATGGCTCGCAACAACAAGTTCTAACACTTACAAAATCTACTAGAAGAAAGGGAGGACACTTTGTAAAGAAGATGGGAAGAGATGAAAGAAGCAATAGTTTCAAAATGCCATGTTTTGGATTTGAAGGAGCACCAGAATAAACAGTGGATCTCTGTTGATACTCTGAACAAGTCCATGAATTCACTGATTGCCAAAAAGAAACAATGGTGGTAAATATAGTCTATCTGGTTGGGGTAAGCCTGCTAACAATGGGCAACACGGCTCAAAACCGAGCACAATGGCGGAAATACACTCACTCTTCGTCTTCTCTTAGATCCTGAGTTTTAGGATTGTCGTTTACTTCTAATTGTGCAAATTCAGTTTTTCTTCTTAAATTATAGTGTGTATGAGTTATCTTTTCTAACATCACTAATATTGTTATTACTTCTATTAACTTGGCATTTTTTCTAATAATTTCATTTTGCTGCGCTGATGTGGTGTTACAACTTGCACTGTTGCATAAATGTGCCACGTTCTACGTCGCTTATGGATGACTGACTGCTTGATTGAAATATCATACTTTACAAGAAAAGAAGTATACTAACTCGATGAATTCGCCATTTCCCTAACTGGATTCAGGGTCTCCAGGCATTTGGCGACTGTTTGATACTAGTTCTACAGAATATCGAGCTCCGTCAGAATGTCGTGGTACCGCCTACCAATACCGTTTCAGAAATCAACGAGTCATTTTATGAGTTTGACACTTGAACATTGACCTAATGTCTCAACTTTCATTGAAAAATGAGATATAAAATAATTACGACATAGTATATTTCAAATAATGGATCACTCCAACATTCCTTTCCTCCAGATTACTTCTAAATTGCATGTTCATCGACAAGGACTAGCAAAACGATCTGTTCTTTCTAAACACAAAACAAACAGATTACGTTTATACTAGTAAACGGAATACACCCATTCAGAGAGTGTAAACTACGTTATCATTACTCAATGCGTTTAAGAAAAGCCATCCATAAAATAAAACAAACTTATGGGAAAACTCACTGTTTGTTTCTTTTGCGTAACGAATTGCCTCAATAGTTTGAGGTTTAACCCCATCATCAGCAGCGACCACCAAAAGCATAATATCAGTTGCTTTTGCACTTCGAAAGCGAATGCCGGAAAATGCTGCATGGCCTGGTGTATCTAGAAAAGTGATGCTTCTGGAAAATGACACGGGATTGGGATCTATAAATCCAGCATTGCGTTCAACAGATGACAAAGATACTGTAAATGCACCAAGATGTTGAGTTATACCTCCAAATTCTTCGTCAACAACTCTACTGGAGCGTAAAGCATCTAACAAAGTTGTTTTTCCGTGATCCACATGACCCAGGACAGCGACAATGGGGGGGCGTGGTTCACATTTCTCCGGAGGACAAGGTGGTCTAAAAAAAATGAGGGAAACAAGGTTGAGATAGAAAATGATAACTGAACTCAAATAAATAAGACATAATATGGGTCGATTTTCCTCATGTAAAAGTGAAAATTATTAATATAATTGGTTTAACCTGAAACAAAACTGTTAATTAACATTAACTTCGAACTAATACCTAAATATATGTCAGGTAACCAGAATAACATTTTTTGATTGCAATTCAGTTAAAACATAATTATATGAACAAAGAATATTCTTTTCAATAATTTCCCATCAGGTTCTATAATTATAAATCCAAATTAATAATCCATAAAATTGGCCAGATTTAAGGCAGAGTACATCATATAAAATTGTAACACATGAATTAAAGACTGTTTGTGATATAAAATAAAATAAAATCGTTAGTTTTGGGATGACTAATATGAAGTGTTAACTTGAATTAGTTTATATGTGAAATGAAATTGTGAGATACATGAACAGTATAAATATGGCCAACATAGGGGTGAGAGAGAGGATAATGTAATTACATATCAGAAATTACGTAATATTATTCAGGTCAGATAAGCAGATACGGTTGGATGCTGAATAAATTTCTCAAAAAGATTAGCAAGTGTAATTATAATAATAGTAATAATCATAGTAATAATAATAATAATGACAATAGTATCGTAGTGAAGGAAAACACAAGTGATGACAACCGAATTATATTTAGCACATTACAGAGTTACTTGGCAAAATAGAAAAACCATACTATAATACTTAATTTGCAAAATGTTCAATAATTGTCTCAGACTTTATTGTTCTTGCATTTCCAGACTAATTGCTTTCTATTCCCGCTCTTCCTTTCTTGATCTTCCCAATCTTCTGCTGCCAGAAATCACATTCCTGACTCGCGTTATATACTACTTAGGTCAATATAAGTAGACACACCACACTCGTCCACAATTTTAATGTGTCTTCGTAGTCTTTCTGATCACCGTACAGATGCCTTTTTGGTGCTGTTCGTGACTCACACTCATAATGTTCTTGAAACCATCTCTGTAGTTGACTGGCATTTACGCGTTTCTGCTTGTCTTCTCTCCGGATCTCGTAAACCGAGCCACGTGATGACGTACAGTCCTTCCAATTTTGGGATAAGCTTTCCCGACCTTGATCCCCCTGCTATTTTACTTTTCCGTTCTCTACACTGCACTATTTCCGCGACTGCAAAAGGTTTACACGGTCTCCTCTGTTGTTGCGCCTTCTTTATATCTGACATTTGTTTGTTTTCCACTACTACTTATGTCAATATAAGTATCACGCACCACAGTAAGATGTGTGAATAAGATAAGCTTAGGACACAAAAATGAAGATTAATCAAATTACGTCACCATATTATGAAATTGATTATTAACTAGTTGGGCCCGAAGCTGGCCAGGGTAAAATAAGCGGCTGAACAGATTTCTCTTGGATGCAAGGCTCTGGCTTTTTGATCCAAATAGCAATTGCTTCAGCCATCTACAGGGTTCTCAGTCTGACAGAGTTAGGTAGACTGCTGTCAACACGATATATTATTGCGAAAGATTGCTCCATGTTGGCTGTGTGTTGCGTCTGAATTAAATGGGCTGACATGAAGCTG